ATTATTATTATTATTATGCATTGTTTGTCCCTGTGTCTTCACAGATGGTTTTAATGAGAGAACAAGAGATCCTGAGTGTTGATTGTGACATGCCCAGTGTACACCAACTTCTGTCCAACATTCCCAAAGATTTTCCATTTGAAGACCTGGTTTCTAGAGCTCACACACTCTTCCACAGACACCCTCCTTCAGATGTAGTGAAGCGAGCATCGTTGCAGAAATATAAAAGGTATGAAACTGAGCACCCTAAAATGAGACCACCCCGTGATTAGAATTAGATCAGCCTAGCCCCTCCGCCCCAGGTTCCCTCAGTAGAATAAGACCACCCTGTGATTACAATTAGATCAGCCTAGCCCCTCATCCCGCACCCCAGGTTCCCTCAGCAGAATGAGACCACCCCGTGAGTAGAATTAGAGCAGCCTAGCCCCCTCCATCCCCCTCCCCAGGTTCCCTCAGCAGAATGAGAGCGCCCCGTGAGTAGAATTATTATTATTATGATATTAATATAGCGCCATCAAATTTCGCAGCGCTTTGCAATGGGTGGACGAACAGACATGTAGTTGTAACCAGACAAGTTGGACATACAGGAACAGAGGGGTTGAGGGCCCTGCTCAATGAGCTTACATGCTAGAGGGAGTGGGGTAAAATGACACAAAAAGGTAAGGATATTATTAGACTATTGACAGTTGCAGAAGAGGAATCAGTCAGGAGCTATTAACAGTTTAATTGATACGTTTTTATGAAGAAGTGGGTTTTTAACGATTTTTTGAAGGAGTGGAGACTGGGTGAGCATCTAACGGAGGAGGGAAGCGAGTTCCACAGGAACGGTGCAGCCTTCGAGAAATCTTGAAGGCGAGCATCAGAGGTGGGAGTGCGGACAGAAGATAGACGTAAGTCTTCAGCAGATCGTAAGGGCCTAGACGGGACATACTTGTGTATAAAGGAGGATAGATAGGTGGGAGCAGCATTATGTAGAGATTTGAAAGCAAGAACCAGAATTTTAAATTGAGCTCTATATTTTATAGGAAGCTAATGTAGGGACTGACAGAAGGGTAAGGCATGGGAGGTGTGGGCGGACAGGAAGATGAGCCTCGCTGCCGCATTCATTATGGACTGTAACGGCGCAAGTTGGGAGCACATAAGACCACAGAGAAGCGGATTACAGTAGTCAAGGAGAGAAAGGACAGTGGAATGGACCAAGACCTTAGTCGCATCTGGCGTTAAGTAGGGGCGGATGTGTGCAATGTTTTTGAGATGGAAATGACTGGATTTGGCGATAGATTGAACATGAGGCTTGAAGGAGAGGTCGGAGTCAAAGAGAACACCTAGGCAGCGAGCATGCGTGGTGGAGCTGATGGTAGCACTGTAGACTTGGAGGGAGACAGACACAGGAGTAACAACACTTGAGTGAGGAAAGACCAGAATTTAAGTTTTGGTCAAGTTTAGTTTAAGGAAGTGGGCAGCCATCCAGTTAGAAATAGCAGAGAGGCAGTCAGAGGGACGGAGAGAGATCAGGAGAACACATTTAGATTTGCGTGTCATCTGCATAGAAATGATATTGGAAGCCAAAGGAGCTAATGAGTTTACCAAGGGAGGCAGTATAGATGGAGAACAGTAGGGGACCAAGGACTGAACCATCCCCAGATTCCCTCAGTAAAATGAGACCACCCCGTGAGTAGAATTAGAGCAGCCCATCCCCCTCCCCAGATTCCCTCAGTAAAATGAGACCACCCTGTGAGTAGAATTAGAGCAGCCAAGCCCCCCATCCCCCTCCCCAGGTTCCCTCAGTAGAATGAGACCACCCCGTGAGTAGAATTAGAGCAGCCAAGCCCCCCATCCCCCTCCCCAGGTTCCCTCAGTAGAATGAGACCACCCTGTGAGTAGAATCTGTTTTTTTAGTTTATTTATAATAGTCATTGATTAGTTTTATTTATTTGTTTTTCTCCTTTTATTTCTTTTCTTGTTTTATTTAAAATTTTCCTTTACTATCGTACGTACTATTCTCTCGCACTCACACTCCTGTTCCTTCTCTCGCACTCCCCTCCCCTCGTGTCCTCTCTCACTCCCCCTCCTCCTCGTGTCCTCTCGCGCTCCCCCTCCTCCTCGTGTCCTGTTGCACTCCCCCTCCTCCTCGCGCTCCCCCTCCTCCTCACCCCCCCCTCGTGTCCTCTCGCACTCACCCCCTCGTGTCCTCTCGCACCACTGCGCACTCTCAGTATTTCCAGCACTTCGTTCCATTCCCTTCTGGTTTCTTCATCCTCCCAGCGGCCGGACTTCGTGCTTTGTAAGCAGACTGTCACTGAGTCGAAGGCCCTCCTCCCTCGTTCCCAGAACACTCTGGTGAAAATGGCCGTGTGGGGCCTGTCTGCCTCCTTGGGGGCCGTTGCACTTGCCGTCACTCAGAGCGCCCTCGAGTGGGGACCGGAAATTCTGTTAGGACTATTCTGATGATCCAAGGATCGATGGTAATTGACGAGTCTTGTGAAAGATTGATCCTCCGGATCCTCCATTCTACCGGTGCTGTCAGAGCCATTTGAATAAATAGCCATCTGTGATAGGTAAGGACTGTCCTTAACACTACCAGCATTGGAAGTATAATAAGCCCTGTATAGACACGTGTTATAAAGAATACTGCATGCTCCATAACTACCGCAGCAAGCTGTATGGAGTGCCTCGTACCCTCCCAGGATCACTTACCTGGGATCTCACATGTTTCTACCACCATGGTGCCAATGAACCCATTGAATGATTTATTGTACTGTACACGTAGCCAATGTATTTATATTCAGTGTGTGGGCCGGTACCAGTACACGTGGCCAATGTATTTACATTCTGTGTGTGGGTCAGTACCAGTACACGTGGCCAATGTAGTTTTATTCAGTCAATGTGGGGTGTGCGGTACCGTGGCCTATGTATTTATATTCTGTGTGTGGGTCGGTACCAGTACACGTGGCCTATGTATTTATATTCTGTGTGTGGGTCGGTACCAGTACACGTGGCCTATGTATTTATATTCTGTGTGTGGGTCGGTACCAGTACACGTGGCCAAAATATTTATATTCTGTGTGTGGGTCGGTACCAGTACACGTGGCCAAAGTATTTATATTCTGTGTGTGGGTTGGTACCAGTACACGTGGCCAATGTATTTATATTCAGTGTGTGGGCCGGTACCAGTACATGTGGCCAATGTATTTATATTCTGTGTGTGGGTTAGTACCAGTACACGTGGTATTTATATTCAGTGTATGGGCCAGTACCAGTACACGTGGCCAATGTATTTATATTCTGTGTGTGGGTTGGTACCAGTACACGTGGCCTAGGTATTTATATTCAGTGTGTGGGCCAGTACCAGGACACGTGGCCAATGTATTTATATTCTGTGTGTGGGCCGGTACCAGGACACGTGGCCAATGTATTTATATTCAGTGCGTGGGCTGGTACCCGGACACGTGGCCAATATATTTATATTCAGTGTGTGGGCCGGTACCAGGACACGTGGCCAAAGTATTTGTATTCTGTGTGTGGGCCGGTACCAGGACACGTGGCCAATGTATTTATATTCAGTGTGTGGGCCGGTACCAGTACATGTGGCCAATGTATTTATATTCAGTGTGTGGGCCGGTACCAGGACACGTGGCCAATGTATTTATATTCAGTGTGTGGATCGGTACCAGTACACGTGGCCTAGGTATTTGTATTCTGTGTGTGGATCGGTACCAGGACACGTGGCCAATGTATTTGTATTCTGTGTGTGGGTCGGTACCAGGACATGTGGCCAATGTATTTATATTCTGTGTGTGGATCGGTACCAGGACACGTGGCCAGTTTATTTGTATTCTGTGTGTGGATCGGTACCAGGACACGTGGCCAATGTATTTATATTCAGTGTGTGGATCGGTACCAGTACACGTGGCCTAGGTATTTGTATTCTGTGTGTGGATCGGTACCAGGACACGTGGCCAATGTATTTGTATTCTGTGTGTGGGTCGGCACCAGGACACGTGGCCTAGGTATTTGTATTCTGTGTGTGGATCGGTACCAGGACACGTGGCCAGTTTATTTGTATTCTGTGTGTGGGTCGGTACCAGGACATGTGGCCAATGTATTTATATTCTGTGTGTGGATCGGTACCAGGACACGTGGCCAGTTTATTTGTATTCTGTGTGTGGATCGGTACCAGGACACGTGGCCTAGGTATTTGTATTCTGTGTGTGGATCGGTACCAGGACACGTGGCCAATGTATTTACATTCTCTGGAGTTAAAGAGAAAATGAATTATCCATTGATGCACTCTGTGTCTGTACTTTGTGGGGCATCAGCTAAACGTTTTGAAGCCACTATAAATCTATATTTTATCTGCTCTGTGAAAATTGATTGGATTTATGCAGCTTGTGTTTTTCATCAAATAAAAAAGTTAACACAAAACTCTATTAGTTGTCTTTTTCTGATACCATAAATATCTCTCCGAGCGAGACCATGGTATGTGTTAGACTATAGTCCATTCAGAATGTGTTCAGACCCCTTCATTTTCTTTTCCTTCACCTTTTTTATGTTGCAGCCTTCTGCTACAATAATACATTTTATTTTTTAAGAAAATCACATCACTCTACACAATATTCCATGATGAGAAAGTAAATCACAGATTTTTGAAAACTATTATTACTATTATTAAAAATAAAAAATATCATATTGATCATAAGTATTCAGACCCTCTGCTATGAAAAGTTTATACTTTCCATTTCTCGGGATCATCTGTGAGATGTTTCCACTAAGGACCTCAGACTGAGCCGAGGGTTCTCATTCCAGCCAAGACCATGAGTGACTTAGGTTCAGCTCTGTGAATGGTCGAGAGTGGCCCATCCAGAGCCTGGACTTGAACCCAGTAAAACCTCTCTGGATTATCATGAAAATGTCTGTCCAACAACAGCCCCCATCCAACCTGACGAACCTTGAAAGAACCTGCAGAGAAATATGGCAGACACTACCAAATCCAGGTGGGCAAAGCTTATCGCATCAAACCTAAACGCAACCAAAGGTGCTTCAACCAAGTCCTGAGTTACTGAATACTTGTGTTAAAGTGATATTAGGTTTTCTGTAGTGGAGTCAAAGTTATGGTTTTAACTTTGTTATTACGGGGTAGAATGTGTAATTTATTTTTTCTTTTTAACGGTAATGTGTGTATTATTGGAAGATTTATAGCATAGGTGGAGCTACCATGCATACCATGAACTAGTGAGTGACTGAGCCATATCATCATTGGAGACTGGCGACCAAGAATCTCAACAAAACCGAAAGTAAATGGTTGAAGTGCTTATGGTGCGTACCGTTTTCATTACTCCAACATATTTAAAAACAATCTTTATTTTTGTTTTGCAGTTCCCTACAGGTAATTACTCTTGGCTCCTAACTACCCCACCCCCCCCCAAGATCTGTAAAAAGGTTTTACAATTGTCTGACATCCAGCGCCAGGCAAAGCTCCTGGCACTGTTTTCCACGTTCGACAGTCTGAAACAGAGTTCTAGGCTTCTTACGTCACGTGTGCTCATGGTGCAACTAGCCCCGGCACACAGGCCCAGATATCTCTTAATGTGCAGTGTTTCACCAGACTCCTACCACCATGACCACTTCAAATCAATGGTGGTTGGAGTAATCCTTTAATTCTGCTTGTTTCTCAGTAGTGATATGCCTTCAGAAGAGCTGAGGAGAAAGAACGGTGCAACCTCTGTCTCCTCTGCTTTTTTCCTGACCTTTGAACGAAGTTAAATAAAAATGTTGGTAGACGACACTCTCACTAATCCTGGGCAGACAGGCGCTGCATGGTGTTGGTCAAGTGGTGCATTATTATGGGGAATAAAAAAACTCCTCTCGCTGTGTGGCGTTTGAATATAAGACTTGACTGTTTTTGATGAGATCTAGTGTGATAAGGCCTCTCCACTGCTGTTTCAGAATGTTTATTTACAAAATCAAACGTTTTTAACATCCAGGGTGCTCTTTCCCCTTAAGACATAAATAAAACCCTCCTCCTTTTAGGAGACTGAACAGAGGTATTTCCTTTCTAACAGGACTGGCCAGCTAAGCGGGATCCCAGTCACAAAACAATAATTAAACCGTGTCCGTTTCACCCTCTCTCTGTGATCAGCAGCCTAGTGAGATGTTCTCAGTATGTTAAACAGGGCTGACCAGTATTGGAGTATTATATATATATATCTCCTATAGTGCCAGGAAAACAAACCCATTTTCCAGGCACTATAGGCTCCTGGAGTGCCCCCCTCCCTTGCATCTCCCCTTCAGCCACTTACCTGAATCCAGCGCCAATTACCCTCGGCGCTGGTCAGGCTCCACCCACGCTCCTCCAGGGAGACCTAATGTGCATGTGCAGCAATGACCGTGCACGCATTAGACATCCCCATAGGAAAGCATTGAATCAATGCTTTCCTAGGTGGGAAATCTGACGCTGGAGGTCCGTGAGGACTTCCAGCGTCAGATAACAGACCAAAAGTATGTTTGGATTCCGGAAGCCCTCCCAATGGCTGTCTGGTAGATAGCCACAGAGGGCAGACCTGGAGCTGTAATGTAACCATCCTAGTTTCTCTGGAACTGCAATGATTCACATTGCACTAAGTGCAAAAGGGACACAGCACCCAGACCACTTCAATGAGCTGAAGTGGTCTGTGTGCCTACAGTGTCCCTTTAACGGGCTGCCACCCTGACTGGCTAACACAAAGCATAACAATACTGGTCATGAAGGACCCTCACAAAGGAAACAACACTATCATCTGCCTCCCCACAGCATGAAAGGTCCTGTCCGGCATCATAGCCTCCAAGATCAATGGGCATTTGAGCCAGTACATGGACAATGCTCAGAAGGGGATTGGAAACAACACCAGAGGATCAAAGCACCAACTACTGGTAGACCAAGCAGTCACACGTATTCTAAGACCAGATAGACCAATCTGTGCACAGCCTAGATTGACTACAATAAAGCCCATGACACAATGCCACAAACATGCATACTGGAATGCTTGGTTCTCTACAAGGCAATAAGAGCCTTCATCAAGAACTTGATGGGCAAGTGGAAAACAACTGTAGAAGCCAATTCCAGGATAAGAACACAAGTAAACAGCAAATGTAGCATCCAAGGTGATACGCTATCCCCAATGCTGTTCTGCATAGGCCTCAACCCCCTTAACCAGATCATCAAGAAGAGTGGATACGGATACAGGTTCAAGAGCCACCTACTCTACATGGACGACATCAAGCTTTATGCCAAGATTGAGCGAGACATTGACTCACTGATCCACCTTACTAGGATATACAGCAAGGACATCGGAATGTTGTTCGGACTAGAGAATTGTTGGTGGATGATAGCAAAAAGAGGGAAGGTGATCAGGACAGAAGAAGTTGAAGTTCCAGAAGGCCAAATAGGAGATGTAGAGAACAGCTAGGCA